GTCAATCATTAAGTCAACTCTTTTATTTCTGCTTTTTCACAAAGCAAGATTTTTCAGAGGCATTCTCCCAGACGATTTTAACAATATCAAAGTATAAATATACTCTCCTCCACACCACAATATCGTGCACCATTTGCCATATTAATGCGCTAGACCCGTAGACCTTTTCCGGCAGGTAAATTTGTTTGGGTAGTACATACAAACTTTCCCATTTTCTTTTGAACCAATAGGAACGGGCTGATATTATACACTGATTTGGTCCTTCCTTTGTGAGTGTTGGCCGTTAGGGCGAGCCGACCTAGAAAAAAAAGTTATGCGAGGCCGACTACACATCAAGGGGGGAGGGGGCGGTAAAGACTGCAACCAGATTGCCATAGCGACGTTAGGTTTTACGGCGCCTCTCAATAAACGGTAGTGCACGAACTTTGGGCGTATTGACCAATCATCATCATGAAATTACGTCGGACTCTGTTGCCATGGTGAAGCCACACGACAAGCATCACGATTCAAAGACGGCACGTAGCAATTATGCCACACCGAGTTAAAATCCCTTGTGACCCCTGCCGTTTGATGCAACAATTCGGCGTTTTCACGGTCTTACAAGTCAACAGTGATATAAATTCAATCATAGGGTCAGACGGTATGCATAGGCTAGGCAGATAATTTTCTTCTTTTTTCTATGCCAGATGTAGAGCATTCACGCCTGTTCTTCCATAATTACATGCGACACGGTTAGTCATTAACTTTTTATGGATTCAAGTCGGGTTAGCTTGGGTGGGTGGGTAGGTAGGTTGGAATTCTGAAGTCGTGTGGAGGAGGCGAACACTTTCAGACCCAAAAAATTTCGAACAAGATATATTTAGCTTCTTTTCGCAATCCATATAGTTTAATTTTTAATGGGCTCTGGTGCGTAAAGTGATGTTTAAGCATAATGTATGCTGTTGGTACCCATGTTAAAGTACTCGAAAGAAAACAGTATTCACTGGTATATACCGATAGAGCGTCAGAGTGCAAGAACAAGTACAGAAAGTGAATTTTTAGCGATTCCTTAGCATCCGTGTAACACATATTTGCATTGCAAAACTAAAAGACAGCTTTTGAAACCATGACAGCAACTAGAAAAACACGGATGCAAAAATTTACATAAACGTGAGATGACGATGTTAAGGCGTAGGAAGTGAAGTTGACTGGGTGGTTAGACGAGCGCAGGCCAAGTGGGGCTCTGGCCTGTGAAGTAGAGGCGGGCAGCAGACAGTTCAGAAGATACATTTGTGAGTACACCATAGTACTTACGTCTCAAAACGATCACAAAAGCCGCGTAAGCACCCTCGCGAGGACTGCGCTATCAGACTTTACTTCACGTTGTCAAAGAATTAGCCCCATACACTGATCGTACTTACTTGTACTTGTTGCGGCTGCGATCATGACTGATCTAGCCGGCCAGAGATCTAGGCTGAAATAGCAACCACCGTGGAGCAGGCCTCGAACGTTGTTAATTCTCGAAAGCTCTACTAACTTATTT